TACTTAGAAAATGACAGGGACCTTCATTTCATAGCCATCGCTGCCGCCGATTTTTTTCTCGATTATATGGTTTTTACTGGTGGAAACGTTTGAATTTGAGGCAGAGTGCTTTGGAATATCCACACAACGCAACTGCTCTAATTTTATTTAAGCATAGATAAATGCAACAAGTTTAGATTGGAAGCCCGTAAAAATTTTGGGTCGCGAAATTATTTTGGGTCGCGACCGTTATACGCGATTTGGCGCTGCTATAGCGGTCGCTAAGAACAACGACAAACAAAAGCAGAAATAATTTTCTCTTGTCAAAGTCAGAGTCTTCAAAAATCATAATAATCTTTCAAAATCTAAACCGCTCTCATTAAAGAAATTCCGAAAAGTGTTTATATAGCGTCCATTTTCAAAGTAATAATTGCTATCTTGTGAGTTTAATTCAAGTTTTATTTACTCCAACCGGTGATAATTGTGAAAAAGTGGCATTAAAAACTTAAAAAGCTGTGCTGTGAACTGTGAACTGCAAAAACCATCGTGGATTGTGGCATAACGTCGGTTTCCAATGTTTCATAGGTATTTCATACATGCGTCCTTATATAAAATAAAGTTTCTTGTATGCAACACACTGTCTTTTATTTATAAAATTAAACGAAAATAATAATAAATTTGAATAAACAATATTTGGCGATATACTTCCGGAAAAAGCCGAACCGCTCCGAAATTTTCAAAAGTTTTGGGTCGCGACCGTTGCAAGAATAGCGCCAAATAGTGTTTACATTGTCCTTATGGGCACTTTCCAATCTAAACTTGTTTCATTTATCTATGTATTTAAGTCAAAGTGGAGTCACTTAAAAGTCAGTGTTATTAAAAGAATTTATTGATTTTAAGACAAGCTGATAAAATGGAGTTGATAAGTACAGAAAATTTGATTCCGAAAGAAGTTATAGAGATATGTAATGAAGCTACATGGCAGTTTATACCAAAAAATCATCAAGATGATACGGATGGATAAAGAATTTGCTTTGGGTAACCAATGGAAACAGGTAAGAATAAGATATAAAGGTGTTTTATTTTTAGGATAAGTATTTAGAGTAGATATTTTTAAAATACTTATTCGGAGTTTTATTCTCTGCATGAAGAAGACATCTTTAAAAAAATAGAATTTCAATCCGGTAAAATAACTGGTCTTGGTATCACACAAAAAGCCAGACCAAGATCAAGACCAAGACCAACATGCAAGGCTCTTGCGGTCTCGCGGTCTTGCGGCCTTGCATTACTTTTCACGTTTCAGTGATACGAGAAATTACTTATTTGTTTAAAATTATTGTTTTAATTTATTACAAACAGTGTTTTGCAGACTATTGCATCAACTTTTAAAGAAAGAAATGTTGATTTAATATAATTTATTAAAAAATAAAAACATTTATTAGACAAATATTCTAATAATTTTTTTTTGTAAAGTTTTATTTGCGTTAAATTTAGTGCCTCTAGTAAAAGTTTCTCTAGTAAAAATTTGTTAAAAGAGACTTGTAAGAGTCTTTTAGCAATATCAAGACTGGACTCTGCAAGACCAAGACTAAGGTTGGTCTTGGTCTTGCATTTGTTCATAACTATTCACGAGACAGTATAAAATAAAATAACGTTAAAGATCTAGGTTAAGTAAACAGGAGAACGATAGCTATAATATGGTAGGTAAATAAATAAAATAGCTGAATATAAAGGAACAAATTAAATAGAGGTGATAAACGATTCACGCCTTTTAGCCCGTTAACCCTTTTCGGCGCCCAGAGAATTTGTACAATTTATTTAGTTTTATGGCTCGGTTTGCTCGTACATGTTTTGCCTTTTAGCAATTTCAGAGAGAACAAACAAGATTAATTTGTTTTAATTTGTCTTTAGATGTTGGTTTGTTTATTGAAAAAAAAACCGTAAAATGGATTAATTAAATTTAATTTATTTTTGTACCTATATCATATGAATAAGAAAACGCCTAGAAAATGTTAATTCTTCATTTTTTGAGTTTTTTTAACAGTGTAGAGGCGTAGAGAGCAGACGTAGAGGCGTACTTGCATTGGGAGGTATGCTGACCTGTTAAATTTCCCAACTATTATATTATGTAAATTTTAAACAATCTAAGTCATTTTAATTTTTAATTTAAATATAAAAATAATCTAATACCTACTAATATTAACTAGACTTAAAGAAATAAATTCGTGGATATGTATGGAAATGGCATCTATATACAATATAAAATGCTAATGTTTATCTGTGTCGTCTCTACTGAAGTAACGACTTGGTCTAGAAAGTTGCTTTTTTTACTAAAAGATAGCTAATTGGTTCTTCTAAAAACTCTCGTTGCTGGATTTTTTGTTTTTCATTTCATTAAAAAAAAAAATTATCTTTTTTCCTGATGTCGCATGTCGCGGATGCGCCAGGCTTCAACTAATCTATTTATGTAATTTTAGTATTAAAATTATTAAGAATTTGTATACACAATGATATTATAACTAACAAAACAATGAAGACATTCCAGTTAATTCTAGTCCTAAGTTGTCATATTATGAAGATATACCGGGTGCGTCTCGAAAGTGGCTCACCCCTATAACTTTTGTATTTTCAGATAAAAAAACGAGATTTAGTATGTTGGTATATCACATAAATTAGGGTTGATTGACGTATTTAATTGTTTTTGGTCACTTCCTGATTTGCCGGAAATGGCCACAACTTTTGATTTTAAAATGGCACCCTCGGTATATTTTTTTTGCTAAATTCGATAGAAAATGACAACTCTGAATAGAATGACATATCATAATATGTCACTTTTTTTGACATTTTCGCTTGAAAACAAATTGTATGTTAAATTTCAGTCTAGAGTGCCATGGCTGTGTTAAAAACACTAATTTTTAATCAAGGAGCTTTGGAAAAATAGTTTTGATCGTCTAATGTTTTTCGTGTCTTGCACTGGCTGGTTAAAAAATGTCCAAATCGTATTTTTATCATATCTCAATTGGTGGCTCATTAGTATATTTTGAAAAAGTATTTTTTTACGAATAATTTGGTACCACGTACTTGGTATTTCGAGTCAAATTGTCGTTATAAACCGCATGTTACAATTTCAACTAAAGCATGTGCGAAAATGTCAAAATTTGACATATGATATGTCGTTCTGTTTAGAGTGTCATGTTCGATCAAAATAAGTAAAAATGTACCAAGGGTGACATTTAAAAATCAAAAGTTGTAGTAATTTCCGCTGAAACAGAAAGTGACAAATCCTAATTTATGTCATATACTAACATTTCAAATCTCGTTTTTTATCTGAAAAACTAAAAAAGTTATAGAGGTGAGCCACTTTTGAGACGCACCCGGTAGACCTGCCTGAGTAAGCTACAGAAATATTCACTATTACATTTTATCATTGAATGTAATAAATACACTGTGTATATGTGTTTTTTTGTCGGTTACGATGTTCTAATCAGTTTTTATTTCCTGAAACGCTTACCCCATCAAAACGGCAATATCATGTAAACCGCCGCTGCGTCCAACGACCGTCAACATCAATCATTCGTTTACAATAATTTTTCAAAGTTATCGCGATAAAATCTCGCTTTCAACTCATTTTCCCACCCATTCTTTCATTCAACAGATTCGCCGGCTACCGTTCAGCTTCCAGTTGTCATCCGGCAACGTGCTCCGGGTTCGACGTTGCCAGACTTAAAGAAATAACTGTGGATTTGACGAATAACTGTAATATGTACAGTACCTCTATCCGTTCTATAGGTACGGGGCATCCGTAAGGGGGGAAATGATATTCTCTGTTACCGTTTAATCGGTGTTTCTCGTAAAAAAATAGACGACGCGTCCCATCAATAAAAATTCGACAAATTTGCATGTAGCGAATGAAATGTCAAGTCCGAGGTCAAGTCAGACTTGGATTTGGACAATGCCTCGAGTGCTTAATAACTCTTTTCGCAAAGAATTTCATTTTTTGTGAAAGCGGATAATTTGAGATTTTCATGCTATTATTATTATTTATTTTTAAACATTTTTTAAAATGTTCTGGTAATCGGTTTCTAAGGCATTGTTTATGCATTGTTTAATGACAAAGTTCTGTCAGGTTCAAACGTCGCCGTATTTCCTACAAAGTTTTTTGAAAAAATGAGTGATAATGACGAGTCTTTGGATATTCAACAAGCTGCTGAAACTGCGCTATCCACGTTAGTTCCCGAGAAGTCGAAAAACTTATACGAGACCACTTACAACAACTTTGAAACCTGGGTCAAAAAAAAAACATGTTGAGAATTTCACAGAAAAGGTATTGCTAGCCTATTTCCTGAAATTATTCACTACCTTAAAGCCATCAACTCTGGGAAGTAAATATTCGATGCTCTCCGAGCCATAATTCACCTGAACAGAAACGTAGATATTAGCAAATTCACAAACCTTATTGCATTTTTAAAAAGAAAAGCTTCCGGATATCAGGCAAAGAAATGAAAAGTATTTACAAAACTGGAAATAGAACGCTTTATGAAAGAAGCCGATGACAAAGAATTCCTGTTAGCAAAAGTTGTTTTAATCGTTGGAGTATTTGGAGCATGTAGGAGGGAAGAAATCACGTTTTTGACCGTAGATGCCATTAAAGATTGTCAGTCATTTATTAATGTGAAGATTCCGAATCAAACCAAACCAAACCAAATCAAAAACTGTCAATTTCGAAACGCTTTCACAAAAAAATATGTTTTTAATTATTATCGAGACCCGAAAGTACTGAAAGAACCGGGAATTAATAATTTCGAGTCCCGGTTACTTTGATGTCTCAAAAGAACACTAATACGAAGCCCAGTGGCAACAATGCCATCCCTGGCGCTTCGCAACATCCACACGGCGGTAAACATTAAGTTGCGCCTTGGTTAGGCGCGCAACCGGCTTCTTCGCCTAACCGGAGGGAGAGCTTCGTGCGTGTGCGTTTCGAGCTTTCCATCGACCGTCATCATCAGTGTTTTTATCACTAACCGGTGGTGAAGTAGCGAAGGATTTTTAGGGACGAGGCGGTGCACGTGCGGTACGATTGCGAGCAGTCGATGTATTTCGCGTGGTTTGTTTAGTTTGGTTTTTTGGACAGCTGACAGAGAGGGATTGATCGGTGCGAAGAGTGTTTGGTCTCGCTGGGGGGTAAGTGACTGACCTATTTAGGGGCGGCGCGCCATGTTGAAGGGGGGAGGTGCGCGCGGAAATCAGCGCGAATATTGTTTTTGTTTGCACAAAGTGCGATTCAATTTTATTTTTTTACGCTTTTATATTGTGTATATAGAGGAAGAATATTTTTTTTATTTGTTTTATCAAACTATTTTTGTAATATTTTGATTGTAAGCTTAAATTTAATTTTTTAATTTCCATATGTAAACTATTTTTTTAATATTTTGATTCTAAGCTTAAATTTGTTTAATGATAAAACATTTTTTATGTTATGGTGAGTTTACTATACAGGGTGGGTTTACTATATACTAGGTGTTACTTGATGACATATTAATTTTCAAGAGGATCATTCTTGGATCTATTCTAAAAAAAACTTTATGTGAATATATGTCCTAAACATCTTAACTTTAAAGTTTAGGATGGTAAAATTTTCTCAAAATATTTTTTTCCCATAATAAATCTGACGTTACTATACAGGATGCTACAAATTCGAGGTACGAGCATTGGTATCTCGGTAACCGTAAACCGTAATAGATACGAACATGGTTATATTGGATTGGGTTGCGCTTTGGGATGTTCACCAAAGCTTTAAACATTTCAAGGACTGCTGAGTTTTTTGGAAAAAACGGATTTTTTTGAAAATCAATTTTATTTTTTCCTGTCGTTACTTTTTACAAAATCAAAAAACTAATTGCACACTCTTATACCAACTTTATTAGGGCTATCTGATAGTATTTTTAGATTTTCAAATTAGCTGATAATTTGTGAGATACGGAGGTCAACTTAATTTTTTTAAATACGGACCTGCATTTTTTATTACAAATTTTGAAAAAACTTGGTCTCTCGAGTACAATGATATACATTTTTTTTTGTTTTGGGTACAACAAAAAACAAAACAAAACTAGGTATCATTATGTTGCTAACTCAATTTCAACAACTAATAACTAATCAAAACACAAACCAAAAGAAAAAGATAATTAAGGTTTCAGGATTATACCGTGTGTAGTTATAGGTGTAGAATATCGGACACAATGGAAAAAAGAGGTTTCTGATACTTTTATATTTCCTGACAAATCCCCTATCAAACTTCAAATAAATTAGCCAGTGTTGTAGTATTTCATTTTATACAATAAAACACCATCACTAAAATATGCTTATGGTTTTAAAAAATATTTTTTTAAATGATACTAGGTTGGTCTAAAATACATCGATACAAACTTCTTAGATCTTCTTTATACTTGTAGAATAGAACACCAATTTATACAGGGGCGTAGATAGGTGTATGCTATGGGGGTGGTACTATGATTAAGTCGCAAAAAAAATCACCGTCGGAATTTTTTTGTCGAATTAAAACGACGGCGATTTTTTTGTCTTCAAAAAGATATAAAAACATAACACAAAAATTAAAATATAGATTTGTAAATAACATAAACAAAAATGAAGTTTGTATTTCGTATTCCTTTTGTATAATAATATACAGGGCGAGTCTTAAATAAGTTGGCATATTTTTAGATGTGGTGTATATCGATCCCAGAAACACGTCTATGAGTTTTTTTCATGGAAAAAAATTGTGAAATTTTTAATTTTGCAACAAAGGTAGTAGATATTGCAACAAAGGTAGTAGATTAAATTTAAAACAACGAGAACCCAGAAAAAGTCCAGTGGTTCTAAATAGTAAGCAAAATATATTTTTTTAAATTTTCAAAGTAAAATAGCTCAGCTATTTTGGACTTATTTCAACAACGCACGGTAAAGAGAAAATAGTTTCCTTTATCGAGATCTACCAGTTCTTGTATTGTTTATTCGAACGATTATTGCTATAATTTTCTAGAAATATATTACTACAGCTGATGTGCCTGCCTGTCACTCGCTCTGAATATCTCATTGAAAAAAAATAATGAAAATTAATGTGTCCAATAATATTAACCTTCAGGTACATTTCCGTTTTTAGTATCTTTATCGAGTATCTTGCTAATTAAACCTGATTATATGGTTATATTTAAATAGTGCTGCCACAATACTATTTTTTTTTTATTTTCAAGGAACACTTATACAACGCGTTGACATACAATTTTTAGTCGGACGACTATTTAGTTGCAAAAATAAAAACAATACATTCACGATACATGGAGCCGATCGATTTTTTGATTGTTTGTGGGCGCGGTTCCATAAGAATACATTTGTTATAAATCTGCAACTCAATAGTCGGTCGACTAAAAACTGCCTGTCAGCGCGTAGGGCCTTAATGTTCTCGTATTACTACTGACATTAGTATTATAGTATTAAGTTATTAAAGTATAATTAGATTAACATGATTTACACATTCTTGAAACATGATCTTTATCTGTTGCGCACATCGAGTAAGCATAATTATGACAAAAAAAAGTTTGTGTTGAGCTTAGAATTAAGTATTTTTCTTACAGTAGTTTATTTGTTCAAAAAACTTGCAGTAAGTTAGAGAAATATTTTTTTCGCTCTTCCAATCCATGTAGTATTGAGCAATAAGAAGGATTGGAAGAGCGAAACGCTTGCCCAGCAGTTAAAAGACCATACCATAACTTGGTATACTGATGCTTCCAAAACCAATACGGGAACAGGGATCGGAGTATTTGGGCCGAGAGCTAATTACTCCGAACCAATGGGCACTTACCCTAGTATCCTACAGGCAGAAATCTACGCTATCGAGAGATGCGTACAACTTATCTTAGATAGGAACTATCGGAAACAAGAAATAGCCATCTTATCTGATAGTCAAGCAGCGTTAAAGGCGATCAACTCAGTATCAATCGATTTGAAATTGGTCAAAGAATGCATAGAGAAGCTGAATAAATTAGGCAAAGAAAACAAAGTCCTCCTACACTGGGTGCCTGCTCACCAAGGGATAGAAGGCAATGAAAAAGCAAATAATCTAGCTAGGAAAGGAGCGAACCAAGTGGTAACCAACTCAAGGCGGAACTCAAGAACTTGGAAGATTCCATCCGCAACCTGGAATGGACAGTGGTCTAAGACACTCGAAGAAGTTTCTGAGGGCTTATGATCAAGAAAATACACAGATCTTCTTGGGTCTGAGTAAGTAAGTAATCTTCGGATTGTCACGGTGTTTTTAACAGGACACTGTCTCCTCAATGAACACCTCAGTAGAATGAAACTAAGAAGAAACGGCGAATGCAGATTCTGTGGGAAAGATGGTGAAACACCAGTACACCTCATCACTGAGTGCGCCGAGACGACAACCATTCGTGCCTTGAATTTTGGTACGACTGATATTGGAGATGGAGAACTACCCTCTATAAAACCGTCCCAGATACTGGCTTTTGTCAAAGCCCTGGGACTGTATGATGAGTTATGATTCAAGAAAGGGGGACACAATGGATCTCGGAAAGCGTACTTCTTCATACCAGACAATTCTATTGTCTGATTCCCTTACTTCTCGACTTGACTAAAAGATGGCGCCTGAAAAAGTCTTTTAATTTCTGGCGGATACGTTGCGGTTGTGCAGACAACCAGTAATACATTTTTAATTTCTGGCGGATAGGCCATTTTTCTTGACAATATTAAGTTGAAATATAAATCGGGAGTGTTTAAGTAATTAAAATTTTCGTACTATGAGATACACTGGCTTAGGGTATTAAGAAACTGTAATTACATTTACAATTACAGTTTACCAACTGTTGAAATATTATCTGCATCTGTTATGCACCAAGTACACATTTATATGAAAATAACATTTGTCGTTTAGTTTATTACAATTTTTACTAATCAACTAGTTTTTAGTTCCAGATAAGTGTTAATATAATATTATCTCTTCTTGGAAATGAGAATTGTCAAAAATAATTTTACTATGCAGAATACCATATGATCGTATACCAATCGATGATAATTTTGGCTAGGTCAAGCCCTAGACCTCATTTACTAAAAATTGACATAAAACTTCAGTCAAAATTAACACTGATTATAGAAAGATTAAAAAAAGAATTGAATGTTCCCAGACACATAAATCTATAATTTCCAAAAAATTATGTTTTCTGGAATTTTAAACTATATGCGATTTAAAAATAATTTTTACTCAATATAAAAATAAAATACAACGTTCATAAGGCCAAATGGCAGTAACGAGGGCAGTAAGCAACATTAAAAATAAAGAAGAGTACGGGCTAAACAATGACGTCTAGGGCTTGACTTCGGTAAAATTATCATCGATTGTCATTCTCCAGCCGTCCTTGACGCCGTTTTTTTTTTCGATTTCGCATGGTACTTTGTAGTAATTTGTTGAAATATCTCTAAAACCAATAATCTGTTTTGCATTTTGGCCCAGTTCATCTGCTCATATTAGGTACCTAAAAATAATATTTTATCCCAGGTTTTAGATTAACAATGATTATCCAATTAGTAATCTATACTAATTAGGGCCTCCATATAAACAAAAGTGTATATTATTTATATAATTTTCTGGTAGCACTCATATCAAGTTGTTTGAATAAGGTGTAATATATAAATGTATATTAAATGATAATTATAATATGCCGGAAGGAAATGATATTGTTTACGTTTGTGCTAATTAGCAAATGGCGTTTGTTGTTGCTTTTAGCCAAATTAAAATTTGGGTAATAATATTCATTTTATGTTATGACGCCTAAACATATTTAAATAGAGTAATTTAAAATAAGTATAACGAAGGTAAAAGAAAAAATAAATTTAGACAAAAATGATAATATTATAATTTAAATAATTATAACAAGTAAACAACAACGACTAAAAAAGTACCAGAATTAAATTACTTAGGCAATATGAATCTTTTCAGGGTTGGTAGTCTCGATAAAAGAAACATATTTTTCTTTTACCGTTTTTCAAATAAGTCCAAAATAACCAAGATATTTCACTTTGAAAATTTGAAAAAAAAAATTTTTTCGCTCAAATTTTAAGAACCACTGGATCTTGTCTGGGTTTCCTTTCTTGTAAATTTAACTTACTACCTA